TATGCTTGTCTTAATGTAAGAATCACTCAGGTCAATGAAGTAAATATTTTAAAAAGTATAATTTAAAAATTGAAAGTAAAAAGTCCAAAAAAAATTTTGTTTTCAAAAATCGTACTTTAAGTTTATAATTATTATAAATATTTTTTTTTACATGGACCATTTTTGAAAAAAGCGACGGATATTATACTCGCATATATGTACAGTGCTATTTTTGTTGAAACGAGGGTCGTCTACCTATTTTATAATAAGTTTAATTATTAATTTCAAATGTTTCTTTGTTTATTTACGGAAACACTTTCTAATATATATTTTCCTTGAAAAAACCCCCTAACGGCAAATGCAACTATGTGACAATGTCTCTCATTAATTCATGAAATCATAATAAGGGATGCTTCACATAAATATTTCTTATTGGAGCTTTAACCTTGAACTGCTTAAACTCTACAACGCGTGACTTTTTTTTATTTTGGTTGTTGAGTACTTTTATCAAAGAAAAATAAAAAAAAATTGTTTTTTTGAATATTATTTAGATAAATCATGTTTTACATTGTTTCCGGAAGGCAACACCTTGCACTCATGGTTATAATATGTTTACCAAAAATTTAATAATGGTGACTATAAAGAATTTTTAAACAAAATGTTTTCATTATTTTCATTTTTTTATTGATTTGCCAACTTATAACTTTTAAACATATAATTGTTTAAAATAATAGAAAACAGATATTGTATTATCACATTTTTTTTTTTTTAAATATACTTTATTGGGATAAAACATTTTTTTTTGTGTATAATAATTTAAAAAATAATTAAATTAGTTCACACCATAATGAAATTGTACTAATCAACGTATTAAAAAATGAAATATGAAATGAAGATTGCTTCATATTTTTCCAATGTTTTTTTACACATTGTATTTATAATTAATTGGTATCCCACTTTTGAAGATCAATAACTTTTAACATATAGTAGATAAACCAAGCACATTTGAATCAACATTCCTAAAAAAATTGTAAATCCTTTGGTCATAATTTAGATGGTTTGGGTATATTTTTATGCATATTATATGACAGCGTTTCTAAATATATAAGATTTAATATAATATTGGAATATCCGGTATGGTGTTTCTGACTGAATTTATATTTCAATCAAAGATTATATAAAACTTATAAGCTTAGGTTTAGTAAAACATTTTTGTATAAAAAGGTTATTTCAAAAGCTGGTATAATTATAATATTAAAAAATAAAAATCAAGTTAAAAGTCTATTCACATAGTCATAATAAGTTTACAATAAAAAAGTATAAAATTTACATTCAGATGCCCATCAAGCTAATAAGGTAAATGATAGATCACAGCTGTCTATTTCTAAACAATTGAATCGATGAGGTTATTTTTTTTTTTTCTAATTTTTTACCATATCTTAACTCCAAAGACCTTATTTTAAAGTAGGAATAACAAAATTTATAATTACTACATAAATGATATTTTAAAATATAAAGTAAAATGTTAAATTGCTTATGGATTCAGTGGTGCCAACGTCTAAGTTCTCTACGAACCACAATTTATTTTTATTATTATTAATTTTAATTAACTTCGGTTAAAGCAAATTAGTAAACATGTATCAATAATGTATTGTTTTAACTAGTAAATTAAATTAAATAATTTATTAAGTATTGGACATCACTGTATCAATATAATTATGTTTATAAATATATGAAATAATAGACCTGAATTTAAAATTTACTTATCAACCATAATATATACGTAGATAATTTTGTGTCTTTAATAGAATTTAGCCAAATTTTCATAATACTATCATAGCAAAATTGGGATGAGATCAGAACTAATAAAACATAAAAATCAATACAATCCACAATACTAGAGACAGTTATTAAAAATTAAAGTTTAAAATTACTTATATAAATAATTGTAATTAAATTAAATATTTTCATACTTACTTAATTAAATTTATAGTTAGAATAATGGATAAAATTAAATAATGCAAATTTCTATTTAAGGTAGCAAATTTGATTAAAGGTATCTTAGAATACCTAAAATTTGAATTTATATCAAATTTATTTTACTGATTTTTAACTACTCCATATCAAGAAAACATACCAAACTAGGGACCTCATACGTCCCGTATTTTACAAAATCGTCTCGTATTTAAATGAAGTGTCCCGGAGTCCCGAAACAAGTTTAAAAATTACACTTTCATCCCGTATTTTTGATAAGGATTTTAAAAATTACATTTTTTCATCAAAATCAAATTAGGTAATTAGATAATTAGGTAATAACTATTATTTGATTACAAAAAAAAAATCTGGAAGAGAAATTAAAATTATCTTTTATAATTTTTTTATTGGTATTGGGTTTACACTGATATTATATAAGATATCAAATGATTGACTTTCATCATTGAAATTGATAAAAATATTCTTATTTATTTTGATAACCTTCGATATGATACACGATTTAAGATAGAATACGATTATGAATGATTTGAAATTTTGGCATTATCACTGACCACTGTAGAGTACAAATAATTATCATTACTTTTCAAAGTTCTAAAATTGTTTTAATAATTTTCATTTTCTAATCTAAATAGTCTAATAGTAGGTGTTTAATCTTTGTCATAAAAATGCCTAAACGTAAATGTCGAAGTAAATGTTTATGTACTGACGTACTAAAGGAATAATATATATTTTTAAAATTGCGTGAACAAGTCAGAAATGATAGAAAATCGAATGCATTTGTTGTGGTGCAATTTTCAGTATTGATCATAGCGGTAAATCTGACATAAAATAACATTTTGGCACTATACGTTATAAATTAGCTGTAGAATAACGTAAAAGTAAGAAAGTTAACGAATTTTTTGGAAATAAAATGTATGTTGTTGCTGATAAATTACTTTATGTAAAGGTACTTGAGCTTATCATATTTGCAAACACAATCAAAGTTTTTCATCAATTCATTAACAACGAGTTTACTTCGCAAAATGTATGACAGTAAATTTACTTGTGGTGCTACTAAAACGCAAGCAATAATTGTAAATGTATGGTTCCCTGAAGTAAATAACTTAATTTAAAATCAATTAGATGTTACCAATTTTGTGACAGTAATGATTAATTTGGCTAACCATAAAAAAACCAAAACAATTTTCCGCTTTTAGTACGCTATTTTTGCCGGAAACAGGTATAAAACCTGTTGTAGAATTTACTGATCTGCCTGGGGAAACAGCGTTAAAACTAACAAAACTATAATTAAGTATAAAAAAGTACATTTTGATGTAACATAATATAAGAAATTATTTAGGTTAGGTTAGGTTACGCCAGTACTATTTAGTATTTACAACCATTGACAACTTTTTTTATATTATTTCTATAACTATGGTATCATTAGCGATATCAAGTCAATTTTTTATTATCACCCATGTTTAGTACAAATTTGCGGAATACAATATATACTCGGCAAATTGTGTAATAAAATGATGAATGGAACTATTGGCAATTAGCTATTTATCGGCAAGGTGAGAGTTTTAAATGTTCCAAGTTGTTTTGCTACTACGATACGGCAGGCGGCAGCGTTTGAAGTGTTCCACTACTCTTCCGCAGCCAAAACTGAACAATGAAATATCTCGTCAACGGGTTGACGGAAATCAAAATTATCAACTGCAAAGTTTGTTTTGATTAATACTCTATCCATTTATGGAATTTTTAATATAGATTCCCATTTGAATCTTAAAAGTTATTCTCCGTAATTCCCCTCCCAAAAAAAAAAAATTTGTAAAATAAAAAAATGTGCAAATTATTTTAGATGATTATAACAAATACATTATTTTCAATTTTAGATATTAATATGGTAAAATGACTGTGACATAAATTTTGAATCGCTCTGTATACCTGTATATAAAATAATTTTAATACATTAAAATATGTTTCAAAAAATAAAAAATCTTGTTCCATATTATATAATTACATATATTATGAAAAAAAACTCGCATACATATAGTCTTATAGCTGATATTATCGTAGTTATAGAAGAAAAAAAAATAAATCAAACGTTTATCTTTTTTACTATTATTATTATTATAAAAAGTTGTGATATTAACTTTGAAACAGTTAAAAATAAGTTGTGTTTATAAAATATACAGAAAACCCACCAGGAATTTTTTTTTTCATCTTAAAAATAACATAGTGCCAACTAATACTACTACTGTTACTATACACGCGCAAAAACTATTAAGTTAATTTCTTCAAAGTGCGTGTTCTAAAACGTTCTACTTTATTTTATTATAGACGAAAACGCGTTTCAGGGTACATTAAGTAATTTTAACGCAGAAAATAACATAAAAAACACGTGTTTCGCAAGTTTCGATACAAAAAAATAAGCGTTTTTATGAAAGTAGTCTTACGAAATAAAAATTTTCCATCAATGTATCAACTACTCAAAATAATTATCGGAATGATTGTACCAAGCAAGTTATTGTCTTTATCAAATTACATATAAATTAATTTAAATCAGTGTCATGCAAATTATAATTAGTGTGCAAAGAATCAGTTATCGATATAGGAAGAAGTAAAATTGATTTATTAGGGTTTTTTTTTTAAATAACCTGAATGTATCCTGCAACAATATAGAAACTATACGGTCTAAAATACCTTGACCATCTCATCAACAAGATAAATAATAACAAAAGGTACGTTGTATCGAAATTTAAAATAAATTTCTATAATTTAATAATACTCAACTGTCCAAAAAAACATAATACTAATAAACAAATTATCAACTTAGATGTATCGGTGCTTCTGTTTATTATAATGACGACTGGTCCATTGAATTGCTAAATGACAACAAGGCAGAAAAAGCATAATTTCCTTTATGAAAGTAGTTGAAGAAATTATCTCTAATGGGTAGATCTAATGAATAATCTGCTTTTATTAAACGTTTTATGTATTACATACAAGTTTTTTTAATTTATTATTATGTTTTGATACCTTGTACGTCTTTTTTCTTGAATTACATTTAATTATTATGCAATTGTTATACAATGTACATTTTATGTAAATATAAAAAAAATTGTGAGTGGTCTAAATATTCTTCTAAAGAATAACCAATGTGCCTTTACACGGCTATTATTAAACTGATCCTATCACATAGGAATTTTAACGTGTGTTAACAGTACTAACCCAAAAAAAAATATTTGATTTGTTTGAGAACAAAATACTGAGAATTCTCTGTGGGCCAATATATAACGACGGACTGGAATACTGGCGTAAGAGAAAAAACCGAAAGAATCAAAAGATTAAAAAAGACTGAAAATAAATAACTTTGTAAAGGCACAGAAAATTCAATGATTTGAGCCAGTAATAGACAGACCAGTATTAGCGAAAGTTGAGTGGAAACTAACTAGAAAAAGATTTAGAAGCAATGTAATGAAGCAATGGTTGAATGAGGCAAACAATGAAAGATTATACTGAAATGATAAAGCATACAATTTCGCGGGGTGGAAGGTAATAACAATAGAATTAAAAATTCTTGAAAAGTTGTTAGTAAAGAAGAATTATTTACGCCAATAACTATGTATTTTAAAATTGTTAAAAAATAACAGTAATCATCAACGAGATTGTATAATATTATTATTTTGAAAAATTATTTTGCTAAAATCGTATTTTTTTTAAATATATCGTTTTAAAAGACGCTATATCTTAAAATGTCCCTTTTAGTAGTATCGACAATATGTTTACGGGGGAAATGAAGAATTATCGAAAGATTGAAATGATAAAAATTAAATACGAGTGAAAATTGATATCAAAAGAAAAAGTCGGCCTTCGCAATAAAGTAACGAGCAGCGATAATGGGTTCGTTAAAACTTTAAAACAGACATTATACTGAGACTACTATACGTACGATTGTTTGTAACATTGATATCGATGGGGGAGGAAAAAAAATAATGATTGAATGGAACAATAGTAGAGGGGAAGGAAGCGACGAAAATAATAATAGATAAGTACTGCCAAAAGACGCATTTTACAATATTTATGGACGTGATAATAATAATGGTAACCATAATAGTATTATAAAATCGATATTATTATCAAAAGGATAGACAAATTTAAGAAAATTTCGACTATGGTAAACCTGAAGAAAAAACACATTAGAATAAAATAGATTAGATTCGGTAGAAAAAGATAAAAAGAAAACACTTTAAACACGTTATATTAAACATTCAAACGCGTATTAAAAATATTTAAATGTAATATTTTGTTATCCACAACAGTGCGTGGCGGAAACGATACAATCGATAAAGTAAAATTTCAATCAGTATATCGATATGATTTAATGCAATGTGATTTTAATGTATAAGGTGTGAAAACGCTAATTTAAAGCGCTCAATATCCTTACACAGAGCCATGCAATTTTAATTTTGGTGTTGTAGTGCATAGTAATGCACATTTATATCCATTTAAAACGCACAATATGTATGTTTGTATGTGTGTGTGATACAAATTTTGTTTCTAAAATAGCAACTCCTCTTTTTAACATATTAGTACATGAATTTTAAAGGTTTAACCTCTTTTTTAAATCAAAAATTAGCTAAGCACCGGAAATTTAAATTGACACGATATTTTTAGATTAAGTCATATTTATCTTAATACCCTCAAGTTTAAAATGCCTGATAAAAAACGATAAACAGTAGAGAATAATAAAACCCAAGTTGTTTACGTTCCTATTACAATTTTAGTAAGTATTGTGAAAAATAGTATGAAATAAACCTATCTAACAAACGGACTATTTCAAAAAATTTAAAACACCGCATCTCAGATAATTTTGGATTTATAAAAGAGATTCAACTACTAAAATGCTTGTAAAATTACGAAGAATAATTTTCCAGTGGTTAAAAAGAATAGTTGCTAATTGAGAAATAAAAGTTGAATTGCACTTATTAACAGTAAACAAATTTCGAATACATAAAAATGTTTACTACCAAGGATAACAACCAACTAAAAAAAAAAAATCAAATTGCATGACTCTGTGCAAAAACATTGAGTATTTTCAATTAGCCTTACCACACTGTATACATTTAGAACACACTGTATAATATCATATCGATAAACCGAAAGGAGCTTTAGCATATTTTACTTTATTGATCGCACCGCTGCTGCCGTGCAACGATGTTGATACATTATATTTAAATAGTTTTTAATACGTCTCGTTATTTGTCCAGTTAATCTTTCCGATTTCCACACAATATCTCGTACAACGTTTTTTTTATAGGAATCCTATAATTCCCGTTTTCTCATATTTTCTATCCACTTCCTCGTCGATTGTTCTTATCAACCACCGTTATTTTTCTTATAACTTTCTAAAATTCTTTAATTTTTTTTTTCTAACTATCCGAATTATATTCTTTTCCTGTAAAATTTGTGTCATAAATTAATATTCTAATTCTAATTTTAAAATCCGATAGGAACGTTCCTGAGAAATCGTTTTAAACCTAACCGTATAAACAATAAATTATTCGTTGTAGTTTTAATAATGAAAAGTCGAAAAAACCTTGGATGACTTTCGGTAAACTTTAACGATTTGTATAAAACAATGGCAGATATTATGACGTATTTTATTGCCAGTGTAGGATAACTGAAAAAAAAGAATCCAGTAATCCATGGTTCCGTTTTAATACGTTTTTATCGCAGGTAACGTTCCCTTATAGAACACAAATATTTCGTTGGAACCATGTTTTTTTTATTATCATTTACAGCTACCTGTAATTTACAAATTCGGAATGAATTTTTTTTTTTTTTCGAAAATATGTATGCATGTGTATAGATATAAAACAATTTAGTTATACATTGTAGGTAGTTTATTATTTATAAGAATTTTAAAGTTTCATAGACCGTATAAAATAATTTACTCGCCTCTTGCAAAAAACTCTTATCTAAACTCTCTAAAAACCACGCATAAATAATTGAGTAACGCGATTCAAATATTCCGTATAGTATATTATATTACGCTGTATGTGTAAAAATATTCTGCTGGGGCTGCCGTTTAAAAAGTATAAAGATAATGAAAAATTTAATTTCTATTTCTATAAAAATGTCATGCATTATAAATACTTCGTATTTAGTACGACTAAGCATTTGTTGTGACGAAAAAATAAGACGACCGCCGATGGCAAAATTCCTAAAATCAAGTTCTACAGTGTTGATTTTTCTCAGTTATTAAGAAAACTACACAAAAAATCAAAACAAACAATATGACCTCTCCGATCCATAAACAAGACAAAATTAGCTACCAGACATTACCCATAAAGTTAAGAGCAATCAGTAACGTAACAAGAAATTAGAATTTAGATGGGAGGCTAAATAAATACACTAATTCAATCATGGGCATAGATAGGAGAGGTTCGGGGGGTCAACCCCAACCCCAAAACATTTTAGAAAAGTATTTTTATCAATAAATATTTTATGTTAAAGCATAAAAAAAAAATAATTTAAAAAAAAAAAGAGATGGTACAAGAAATGGTATATTCTAGTCTTTTAGATGAAAAGTTAGGAAAAAAGAACATATTAGGTTATTTAATTTATTACCGACTATAAACCGGTTTGATTACACATTGTTTGAAATACTTAAATTTTTACGATTTTCTTCAAAATTTGATCCGCATTAGGCTTCTTTTTTCTTTATAAATAATTAATTTGCTTAATGAAATTATACGTGTCGTAAAATATCTTCTTTTTTAAAAAATTAATTGTAGAATACGCTACAGTCATAAGCAGATATTATTTTTAAAAACCACTGTAAACGTTGAGTGACCCTAACTCTTATTAACCTCCTCCGCAATCTTCCACGTACTACTCAAACAGTCAAAAACAATATACGAGTATATTATATTTGTTTATATCGCGTAAAAAAATCTCTTTAATTTACGAATATTAATATGATAAATTTATGTTTGGAAAAAAAAAGAATGTTGAGATTTTTTTATTACCATTGAAAATGACATTTTAATATTATTTGGGTCCGTTTCGTAACGATGAGTACATTAAAAACACCATTCGGGTTTTGATACATCATACAATAACTTCAAATAATATGATATATTTAATTGAAGCGTTTTATCATTTTTTTTTCTCCACCAACTAAAAAACCGCAATTAAAAGCACATATTGTTATTGTATCATATATGGAATCGGTCAGTTTGCTTTCCTTTTTTTTCCATATAAAACGTATTATTCCTTTTATTGATAATGTATATATTTGTATTCGTTTTCCCATATTGACTCAACCGTCACCGACCAACAGTCGAGTACCTACTGAGTATTATAACAACGAGTGTTTCGAGAAAAACGCAGACAAATAAAAAAAGGTATCTCCGTACAATACTGGTAAAAACGACTAAAATATAAGTACCTATATAATACTAGTAGTAAAGTAAAGTAATATAATACTAAAAGATAACTCACCTAATATCTGAATTTTATCGTTGAAATGTTATTTTATTAACAGTTTCGGTCGTTTTGCGACAACTTGGATTATTCGGTAAAGGTAAACCAGTCAGCGGAAATTTTCGATGGCACAATCGGATACAAAGTGAGGGAAGGGACAACTATTGATAACCGAAACTCATCCCAGTAAGTCGAAAAAATTAACATATTTTTCTTCTACTTTTTAAACTTTCACAGTCCTTGTAATATCCGCACTATCTAAACTACACTCCTCCGTTTGTCTCTTTCTGCGTTATCTTCTTATTATTACTTCCTGGGTACATTTGATTCTACTTAATTTACTTAAATTTACTGTTTCTACCCAACGCTAATGAGTATTTTTCCATTTAACCTCCAAACCAAGCCTTTCTTCAAAAGACCGTTTGATCTCTAGACGTGGTATACCAACTCGAGTCGTTTCCTCCTAAGTTCAGTAGGCTTTTGGTAGATTACTTGGATGTCCCTAATTGTTCTCCTTCTGTATACTCGATTTTCTAGTATTGGTCCATATATCTGTTTAAATATTTAAATAGCTGAATAATCCAGAAAAAAGTTTTTTTTTTTTTTTTTAATCAGTTAACCCAATATGGATTGAGTTATTCTCTTTTGAGAAAAGCCTCTCCAAATTCTTTCCCTCCAAAATGAAACTTTTCCTATGCAAAAATTTAAAAAACGACATTTTCAAATTATTTTCTTGTATGAAAATACTGCATTTGTTTTGGATTCTTTGGTCTAGGTGAGAATTTCGATAAATTTGTTTTTTTTAAACCATATATCAATAACGTTTTGTTTTACGTGTGGAGCGAACACGAGCAGTTCAGCATGTGAAATCGGATACAAAAATAATATTATAATGTAATAATAATATTATATATACCTATTATACCTATATTGGCGGGCAATTTCCATATCATATATACCTAGGGGAAAACCAACGACGGAAACAAGAAGACGTAAATTCGATTTCGCAGCAGAATGGAACAAAAACATTTTTTTTTTTTTTACCACGTAATTCATACTGTATTTGCAGTGAAGGTATCTATGTATCGTAAGACGATATTATAATATTTTGTTTTAACAGTTTTCTTCTGGTTTCGCCAACATGTTAGTATGCATGCTGGTATAATGGTTCTGTATGTGCTTTGGAAAACTTAAAATAACACTTTCGGAAAGTGTCCCAAAAATTCATAAGTCTTCCCATTATATTTTTCTTCGAAACACACATTAACGGCCAGTGCTGTGCCAACGATTTCAGGCTGTAATTTTTATTTAGCTTGGTATGCAATCTCTTTTATTCAAAACTGACATCGTTTTGGATATTACTATTCATCGGGAAATTAATAAAACACGTGAAAGCACAATACTTTACTGTTGCAGCCTACCGTTCCCTTTCAAAATATCATAATATCTTTGTACAATATCGACTCTTCTACTAAAATATTATCTATTCGAAGACGTGATGTTTTACATTACATTTAATTTAGTTATACCCATCGTGGTGTTCTAACAACTAAAGATTTTGGGTTTTAGATTTTCACCTAAGACACTAAGCTCCTGGGAGCAATTTTAACAATGGAACATTTAGGGAACGAAAGGAGTAATAATTATCCGATGCAGTGAAATTTCAAAGACAGTAAAATTTATATGATTTTACGGTAGCAATTTTAGAGCAAAATAATGAAAATGTTAAGGTATGGGTTTACCCATTAAAATTATCCGAGAAGGGGTGGTTTTTTTTACCCCGGAGCGTATTTTGACGTGGTAGATTTTTTTTTATCAACGTTAATATTGCTGCGGGCAGCTGTTACTATGATTCCCTTTTCGTTTTTCTGACAACATTTGTACTTACTCCTCAACGTTACATACAAATAATAAAAAAATACCCTATAATAATATGACCGGATGACGGAAAATGGTGAAAAATCCTATAAAAAATAATAAAAATATTACGTTCACAATATCTGCTAAAATACTCACGGAATCCGTAGTCTACTATTCTATCCAAAAACAAAAAAAAAAAAAGAATTAACTTTATATTGCAATCAGTTTTACCTACTTTCCGCCGTCGAAAAAACAATACGTATCACAGTTTGTTGTTTTATATCTATGTACGGCGGCGGTCTCCGCGGTTTTATATTTCGTATAAGACCCTGACACAGAACGGCTGTAATCTCGACAATAGTCGATATCCAATTTTATATCGACCAAACGGTATACGACCTAAATAATATATGAGTATTGTATTCGGTATATGTTATGTAACACTGTAAAACACGTATACGCTGATGGAAACCGGATATCATAGTTTTCGAGAAGATGATCCGGGAACGTGAAACCCAAAATGGATGACGGTATGGAAAGTTTTTGGGGTTTTCTTCGTCGTTTATCGGTATGACGCAAAAAACGAAATAAAGTACCTATTTTGAGTTTTAAAATCGTTAGCCAATGAAAGAACTAGAGCAAAGAGTTCACCCTCTATAAATGCGCCGTGGGGAGAAAAAAAGTTTCCTCACGCGTATCATACCCGTTTATTAACTTCTATATTATCTGTTTTACGCTTCCTATACTTCGTCTATGTATTCCCCTCGTTCTCAGCCCATCTGCACGATGATTCATCGTTTCCGAGGCTGATGGTGACGGTGGTTTTTTTTTTTTTTACGGAGGAGATGAACATTGGTGAATTCGATGTGTAATATCTAACTAGAGTAACTCAGTTATTGTGTTAAAAATTGTATTCGATTGATTGCACTCATTTAAATACTTGTTTATTATTGAAAATATCACTTGAAAATTTCACTGAAAAAAAATCTAAATTCATTAATTAATTTTTACTAAACTTACATTACCTCTATCTATTTATTGCATTGAACAACAACTGTGTTTTTTCAGTTCTCAAAGTCGATTAACCGTAAAACGACGATTAATATTATTATATCTGGGAAATATTTTTCCACGGTGGTCCGAAATTGAAATAGACTGCTGGATAATTTATAAATTATACGTACAATTCAAGTTTATCAATCCTTACTTTCCCTCAAGTCTAAACTTAAAATTATTACAACTCATAAATCATAAATCGATATTAGTGCTATACATATAAAAATTGTAAAAAAATCTCTATTCGAATTCTATTTTAAAATCAAAAGCACTTCATTTAAAATCCTCCAAGAAAATTGCTAGTTCATTGCTATAGTATTCCTCGATTACAATAATTTGGTCGTAGAAACGCGACGGTTTTGACGAAATATAATAAAGAATAAAAACAACAAAGTAATATCATTTACATTAGCTTTTCTACCACCTCGAAAAAGAATATCGCGTATTCTTCTCGTCCATAGCCATCATTCCTCTTAATATTATTATTATTTCACAAGAAAAAATAATATTCTACCGCTTTTATCGACAAAAATGTATATTTTAATGAACGTGTCTGTACTGCGGTCGCTTTTTTTTTTACATTTTTATCATGCGGTTGTTATTTTCGATAAAATATACCGTATAATTATTTCAACCGGAGTACTAGATATAGGCACTGTATTAAACAGTCTTCAGCCGGTATTTTTAATTTTTTTTTTTAACGGGCCCGACTTGAGATATTTATCATTTATTATAAAGATATTTAACGTGCACTATAGAGTAACGGTGCTTAAATAGTTTTTTTTTCTTACAACAGCAACTTTTTACGGATTAAAATTAAAATATTTTAAAAAATATTAAAAGACACCATCACCATCCATTATTATGATGATACAATATAACCTTAAAAAAAATCATCAACTATTAAAATTTGAATTTAGCATCGGTATGAATTTAATGCCAACAAATTGATGGATTTTACCTTTTACCTGACATTTATTTACACCGACGTGTTTTTTTTTATCATACTTTACCATACTTCAACCATTCTTAAGATCTACTTGTGTGTTTAATTAATTACAATTTTTACTGAGTACACCGATTCCAACAACCGTGCAATTTTGATAAATAGGTAAAAGAATAATGTTAATTATGTTTTTATATAAACATATTTCTCGTTATATTTTTCGAACGTTCGCCAAGGTATATTATAATATTCAATACTAAATCAATATAATTTTTTTTTTTTTTAGTCTTATTATACTTTTTAATATGTTAAAGCTCATTATTACAATTTGTATTTAAAAACAATAATGGCGTAAACTAAACAGAAAATTTAGAAAATTTGGAATATTAACTCAATATTATGGTAAATCGCAGTTTAAATAGTTTTAACTAATCGTGTTGCGTTAAATAATTAATTTTGAATTTGAAAGGCATGAAGGAAGAAGAATGTGGTGGTTAATTTTTGAAAATGTTTCAATGGAAGAACTACTTTACAATATTGTTTGATCAACACATCGAATATTTTATATTCAACATTATCCAACTGAAATTCTTTTCACCAAATGGATATCAACATTTGATAATAAAGTTCCAAAACATTATCTACAACTACCCTTTTTGTCCATGTGCCCTTAATGTATTGAATCTTTCTGATAAACATTTTTTTTCTAAGAATAACATTGAATCAATGGTTTGTTTTGAATACAGATCCTGAAGTTTATTGTAAAACGATCGATATTCAGACCCTGTTAAATCCTATTTAAATAAAAACTGACGTGCACAATCGCATGGCGCAGAACGTAAACCGTACGTAATTTTTTGAAGTCCAAATAAATGCACACGTATATTGTCTACTTCTACGATATTAAAAAGTTTAATTTTAATAAAAAATATACCCAAGTACTATGTTTTTAAAAAAAATTTCATTTATTTTCAAAAAACATATTTAAATTATTTAAATTAACTTATTAAATTAAATCAATTTTATTTATTTATTTAAATATTAATAAATAAACACAATTAAGTTACACATTTAATTATTAACACTCATGCATATTGAATTATGATGAAGAAACAGGTTGTAATAAATAATATCATTAACATTCGTTAATTTGCAATATAAAAATACATGTTTTCGGGTTGTTTTATTTGTATTTTTTTTATTATGTGTTAATACACGTAAATCCGGCAAACGAATATAATAGTAACGCATGAATAACGTACTAAAAATAAAAAATTATGGCGTAACTACGTCATTATAAGACCCAGCTATAATCCGCTCGTGTACCTAATCGTTAACATCATCGTTGTCGTCGCGTTAAAAAATTGTCATACTACCATTAAAATAATTACAATATTAAAATCGTTTCGCTCTTTATAATAAAAAATCAGTTGAAATTAGGTAATTTTTTTATTATTTTAGATTTTTTTTTTCTTAATAATAATTATTTGCTTAATGAAATCGCTAGAATACCAATTTTAAAGCATTTTTTAGCTCATACTTTCGGGTTTTGAAATCCATAAGTACTTGCATATTTAGTGCCTTTTAAAAGCTTCATTTCATCTGCTCTAGTTATTACATTACAATTATTTTGTTAAAACATCCGTACAAGAATCGTGGTTACTCGGTTTTCAATACGTGTAAATATAGTAATAATAATATATACTTACAGTTTAATATACTATCGTACGATCGATGTAATAGATTTTCATCATGATATCCGAGTTTACATACGAGTAGATATACGCAGTATAATTTTCGAGCGAGGAGCAAATGGAGA